AAAAAGAAGGTTATAAAAGAGTATTATGAAAAAATTGTATACAGCGGAGGGCATAAACGAGGTGAAATGATCAAATTTCTGGAAACACCCAACCTGCCAAGACTGATGCATGAAGAAACAGAAGATCTTAATAGGCATATAACTTACATGGAAATTAAATCCATAATCAAGAAACTACCAACAGAGAAATGCCCAGGACAAGATGGTTTCACTAACAAATTCTATCAAACATTTAAAGAAGAATTAACACGAATCTTTCTCTTCAAAATATTCTCCAAAACAATTGAAGAGGAAGAAATACTTTCTAACCTATTTTATGAACTTAACATTACCCAGATACCAAAGCCAGCCAAAGACACTACAAGCAGACAAATATCCCATATGAACATTGATGCAAAAATCCTCAGCAAAATACTAGGAAACCAAGTTCAGGAACATATTAAAAGGATTATACATCATGGCCAAGTGGGATTTATTCCTGGAAGGCAGGAATGGTTCAACATAAAAAAAAAATCAATTGATGTAATACTCCACATTAACAGAATGAAAGAAAGAAACCACGTGATTATCTCATTGGTGGAGAAAAAGCATTTGACAAATTCAGTACCCAAAACAACTCAATAAATCAGTAATAAACAGAAACTTATTCACATAATAAAGTCCAAATACGGAAAATTCTCAGCCTACATTATACTCAGTGGTGAAGGAATTAAGTTTTTCCTCTAAGATTTGGAACAAGACAAGGATGCCTACTTTGACCACTTCTTTACAGCATAGTAACGGAAGTTCCAGCCAGAGCAATTTTAGGCAAGGAAAAGAAACAAAAGTCATCCAATTTAGAAAGGAGGAAGTAAAAATATGTCTGTTCATAGATTATATAATCTCGTGTAGAAACTCCTGAAGATTTCACCAAAAACAACCAACTTTATTCAACTAATAAAGAAGTTCAGCCAAGTAGCAAAATATAAAGTCAACACACATAAATTAGTTGCTTTACATGCATTAGCAACAAACAGTAGCTAACAAATTAAGAAAACAATTCTGTTAATAATAACATCAAAAGAAATAAAATGTTTAAGAATTTACCAGTAAAGTGAAAGACTTATACATTGCAAATTATAAAACATTGCTAAAATAAATTTAATTAACTAGTTAATTAAGACATAAATAAATGGATAAACATCTTTTGTTCATGGGTTGAAAGACTTAATATTGTGAAGATGATAACACTACTCAAAATAATCTACAGATCAATGTAATTTTTATCAGAATCCCAATGATATTTTACAAAAAAACAGAATAACTTATCCTAAAATGTATAGGAAACTGTAAGAGACTCCAAATAGCCAAAATAATTTTGAAAAAAAATAACAAAGCTTGAGGACTCACACTTCCCTCATCACAAAACTTACATCACATTTACATTAATCAAAAATACTGTGATATTGGCATATGGACAGACACATGAACAAATTAAAAACAATAAAATACCCAGAAATAAATCCCCATGCATATGATTGAGTGATTTTTCACAAGGAAACTAAAAACATCTGATGTAAAGGACAGCCTTTTTTAAAATAAATACAGCTTAGAAAACTGGATATTCCCATGGAAATAATGAATTTGAGTTCTTACCTAACAAAGTAGTTAAATATCAATTCAAACTGAACCAAAGACCTAAATATAAGAGCAAAAACTATAAAACACTTAGAAGAAAACAGAAGAAATACCTCCTGACATATGATTTGGCAAAGATTTCTAGGATATGGCACCAAATACACACACAACAAAATAAAAAATAGATTAATTAGATTACACCCAATTTTAAAATTTCTGTGCATCAAAAGACACTATAAAAACAGTAGAAAAAGCAACCCGTAGAAAAGTGTCTGTTCATGTCCTTCACCCACTTTTGAATGGGTTTGTTTGCTTTTTCTTGTAAATCTGTTTTAGTTCTTTGTAGATTCTGGGTATTAGCCCTTTGTCAGATGGGTAGTTTGCAAAAAATTTTTCCCATTCTATTGGTTGCTGGTTCATGCTAATGATTGTTTCTTTTGCTGTACAGAAGCTCTGGAGTTTAATTAGATCCCATTTGTCTATTTTGGCTTTTGTTGCCAATGCTTCTGGTGTTTTAGTCATGAAGTCCTTGCCTATTCCTAAGTCCTGAATGGTTTTGCCTAGGTTTTCTTCTAGGGTTTTTATGGTGTTAGGTCTTATGTTTAAGTCTTTAATCTATCTGGAGTTAATTTTAGTGTAAGATATGAGGAAGGGGCCCAGTTTCTGCTTTCTGCACATGGCTAGCCAGCTTTCCCAACAGCATTTAAAAATGCTCATCATCACTGGTCATTAGAGAAATATAAATCAAAACCACATTGAGATACCATCTGATGCCAGTTATAATGGAGATCATTAAAAAATCTGGAGACAAGGCTGGGCACCGTGGCTCACACCTGTAATCCCAGCACTTTGGGAGGCTGAGGCGGGTGGATCACGAGGTCAAGAAATTGAGACCATTCTGGCCAATATGGTGAAACCCTGTCTCTACTAAAAATACAAAAAAATTAACTGGGCATGGTGGCGTGTGCCTGTAATCCCAGCTGCTCAGGAGACTGAGGCAGAATTGCCTGAACCCAGGAGGCGGAGGTTACGGTGAGCCGAGATCATGCCATTGCACTCCAGCCTGGATTATAGGAGCGAAACTCTGCCTCAAAAAAATTAATTAATTAATTAATTAATTAATTAAATAAAATAAAAATCTGGAGACAACAGATGCTGGAGAGGATGCGGAGAAATAGGAACACTTTAATACCGTTGGTGGGAATGTAAGTTAGTTCAACCATTGTGGAAGACAGTGTGGCGATTCCTCAAGGACCTAGAAATAGAAATTCCATGTGACCCAGCAATTGCATGACTGGATATATAACCAAAGGTTTATAAATCATTCTACTATAAAGACATATGCACATGTATGTTCATTATAGCACTGTTTACACTAGCAAAGACTTGGAACCAACCCAAATACCCATCAATGATAGACTGGACAAGGAAAATGTGGCACATACACACCATGGAATACTATGCAGCCATAAAAAACAATGAGTTCGTGTCCTTTGTAAGGACATGGATTAATCTGGAAACCATCATGCTCAGCAAACTGACACAAGAAAAGAAAATCAGACACTGCATGTTCTCAAACTAGGTGGATGTTGAACAATAAGAACACATGGACACAGGAGGGGAGCATCGCACACTGGGATCTGTTGGGGGGGAATACCGGAGGGACAGCATGGGGTAGGGAGTTGGGGAGGGATAACATGGGGAGAAGGGCCAGATATAGGTGATGGGGGGATGGAGACAGCAAATCACACTGCCATGTATGTTCCTATGCAACAATGCTGCATGTTCTGAACATGTATCCCAGAACCTAAAGTACAATTACATATATATATATATATATATATATATATATATATAATATATATATATATATATATATATATATAATATATATATATATAATATATATATATATGGAAAAAACCTATAAAATGTGAGAAAATAGTTGCAAATAATATATCTGATAATGGATTAATATTGAGACTACATAACAAATTCCTACAACTCAACAAAATAAAGACATATAACTCAATACTAAAACGGGCAACAGATTTGAATAAACATTTCACCACAGAAGGCATACATATGACCAGGAAACCTATGAAAAGACTGTCAAAACCACTATCCATTGGAGAAATGCAAATCAAGACCACAATGAGATATCATTTCCCACCTGTTAGAATTGCTATTACTAAAACTTTAAAAAATAAAGCCAAAAAAAAAAAAAAAAACAACAAGGACTGATAAAGATGTTGAAAAATTGGAACCCTTGAGCATTGCTGGTAGGAATGTAAAATAGTGCAGTCTATGGAAAATAGGTGATGGTTCATTAAAAATTTAAACATAGAAATGCCAGACGATTCAGCAATTTTATCTTAAGTCTATACCAAAAAACTGAAAGCAGAGATTCAGATACTTGTACAAAAATATTCATAGCAGCATTATTAACCAAAGCCAAAAGGTGAAAACAACTCAAATGTCCATGAACAAATAAATAGGTAAACAAAATGTAATATAAACTTACAGTGGAATATTATTTAGTCTTAATAATATAATTCTAATATATGATAAAAAATAAATGAACTTTAATAAAATTATGCTAAGTAAAATATATAGAAATTAGGGATTTCTAATTTAGCCATTATTTCTTCAGATATTCTTTCTGTTACTTTCTCTCTCTACTCTCCCTTTGTTACTCCTATTATGTATTATGCTGGATGGTGTCCTGCAGTTCTCTAAGGCTCTGCTCACTTGTTTTTATTCTTTTTCCTTTTTATTACTCAGGCTACATTAGCTATTTTTTAAATTTTAAATATCTAATTTATTTTTTAATTTTACAAGTAATGTACATATTTACAGGGGGTACATAGTCATATTTTGTTACATATAATACTTAGTGATCAGATCAATGTAGTTCACATGTACATCATCTCAAACATTTGTCATTTCTTTGTGTTGGGAACATTCAATATCCTCCCTCTAGCTATTTAAACTATATATTATTGTTAACTATGGTATTTGTGACTCATACTATGTGTTTGAAAATAAGTCATGCTCTTTCTTTGCTACATTCAGGATTCTACATTTGTCTTAATATAATGTTTAGTTCATATAGGCTCTAGCTTTGCACAGGTGTGATTCCTTTTAAATTGTTGCTATCTAAAAGGAATGTTTAAAAGTTTTTCTCAGTAATTGTGGATTTGCCAATTTTTCTTCTGATTTATATAATCTCTGTTTTATATACTTTAGTGATATATGATTAGGTATATCAGGATTAACAATTGTAGCATATTTTTAAAAATTTTTTCTTTTAATCAGTGTGTGCCATTCTAAATTATTTATTTTATTTTTATTATTTTATTTATTATTTTATTTTTTTAAATATATATTTCTGATCTGGGTACTAATGGGAGCACCGACTGCTCCTGCCAGTGAATCAAGACCAGTAGATTCTCTCCGAGTACGTACTCTAGTACACCAGGAAAAGAGTTGTGTCAGGATATGACTCTAGTCTTGGCATTTTTATTTTATATAATGTATTTCATCTAAATAACATTTATGTATTTCCTTTGCATTAATATACACAAATGAATTTAAATATCCATTAAATATGCATATATACATATATAATTTTAAGATTTCGTTTTGTATTAAATATATCTCATTATTTAACTAAATTTTTTTTTGGTCTAATATGAAACTTTCTGTTTTTGAATAAGTGAGTTTATCTAATTGTCAATTGGTTTTGAAAAGCTTAAAGCAAATTTTTGTTTGTACATTTATTCACTCTCTCCATTTTTAAACTGAAATTTCTATTAGGTGGATACTGGAATTTCTGATTCTATTGTAAATATATCCTATCATTTATTTCATACTTTGAGTCTTTTGGTATTTTGTTATCTGTTTCATGAGCATTCCCTGGCTTTACATTTCAGCTCCCGAATTGTCTCTATTTTGGTAAGTTTAAAAAATTGTGGTAAAGTGTATGTAACATAAAATTTACAATCTCAGTGCAAATTTCAGTGGCATTAAACATATTCACAGTGCTGTAAAACTATCTATTTTCAGAACTTTAAAAATCATCCGAAACAGATCTATGTATCTGTTAAGCAATAATTCCCCATTGTTTACATCCCTCAGCTCCTGGTAACCTCTGTTCTACTTTGTCTCTACAAATTTGCCTATTCTAGGGTATCTAATGTAAATAAAATCATATAATAATTTGTCCTGTTATGTCTATATATTTTACTTAGCATAATTTTATTAAAGTTCATTTATTTTTTATCATGTATTAGAATTATATTATTAAGACTAAATAATATTCCACTGTAAGTTTATATTACATTTTGTTTACCTATTTATTTGTTCATGGACATTTGAGTTGTTTTCACCTTTTGGCTTTGGTTAATAATGCTGCTATGAATATTTTTGTACAAGTATCTGAATCTCTGCTTTCAGTTTTTTGGTATAGACTTAAGATAAAATTGCTGAATCGTCTGGCATTTCTATGTTTAAATTTTTAATGAACCATCACCTATTTTCCATAGACTGCACTATTTTATATTCCTACCAGCAATGCTCAAGGGTTCCAATTTTTCAACATCTTTATCAGTCCTTTTTTTTTTTTTGGCTTTATTTTTTAAAGTTTTAGTAATAGCAATTCTAACAGGTGGGAAATGATATCTCATTGTGGTCTTGATTTGCATTTCTCCAATGGATAGTGGTTTTGACAGTCTTTTCATAGGTTTCCTGGTCATATGTATGCCTTCTGTGGTGAAATGTTTATTCAAATCTGTTGCCCGTTTTAGTATTGAGTTATATGTCTTTATTTTGTTGAGTTGTAGGAATTTGTTATGTAGTCTCAATATTAATCCATTATCAGATATATTATTTGCAACTATTTTCTCACATTTTATAGGTTTTTTCCATATATATATATGTAATTGTACTTTAGGTTCTGGGATACATGTTCAGAACATGCAGCATTGTTGCATAGGAACATACATGGCAGTGTGGTTTGCTGCCTCCATCCCCCCATCACCTATATCTGGCCTTTCTCCCCATGTTATCCCTCCCCAACTCCCTACCCCATGCTGTCCCTCCGGTATTCCCCCCCAACAGATCCCAGTGTGCGATGCTCCCCTCCTGTGTCCATGTGTTCTTATTGTTCAACATCCACCTAGTTTGAGAACATGCAGTGTCTGATTTTCTTTTCTTGTGTCAGTTTGCTGAGCATGATGGTTTCCAGATTAATCCACGTCCTTACAAAGGACACGAACTCATTGTTTTTTATGGCTGCATAGTATTCCATGGTGTGTATGTGCCACATTTTCCTTGTCCAGTCTATCATTGATGGGTATTTGGGTTGGTTCCAAGTCTTTGCTAGTGTAAACAGTGCCATAATGAACATACATGTGCATATGTCTTTATAGTAGAATGATTTATAAACCTTTGGTTATATATCCAGTCATGCAATTGCTGGGTCACATGGAATTTCTATTTCTAGGTCCTTGAGGAATCACCACACTGTCTTCCACAATGGTTGAACTAACTTACATTCCCACCAACGGTATTAAAGTGTTCCTATTTCTCCGCATCCTCTCCAGCATCTGTTGTCTCCAGATTTTTATTTTATTTAATTAATTAATTTATTTATTTATTTATTTTTTTGAGGCAGAGTTTCGCTCCTATAATCCAGGCTGGAGTGCAATGGCATGATCTCGGCTCACCGTAACCTCCACCTCCTGGGTTCAGGCAATTCTGCCTCAGTCTCCTGAGCAGCTGGGATTACAGGCACACGCCACCATGCCCAGTTAATTTTTTTGTATTTTTAGTAGAGACAGGGTTTCACCATATTGGCCAGAATGGTCTCAATTTCTTGACCTCGTGATCCACCCGCCTCAGCCTCCCAAAGTGCTGGGATTACAGGTGTGAGCCACGGTGCCCAGCCTTGTCTCCAGATTTTTTAATGATCTCCATTATAACTGGCATCAGATGGTATCTCAATGTGGTTTTTATTTATTTCTATCTGATTTAAAATACAACTGCATAAAGCAATAATTACAAATTTACGTTGATGGTCACAAAGATGTAATTTTTTATCATAATGGTATAAAAAGGAAAAATAGATCTGTATAAAAATGACATTTTTGTTGTTTTTAAACATAGAATTAACATATGACAAAGAAATTTCACTATTGTTTATACTCAAAAGAATTGAAAGAAAAGACTTATACAGATACTTGTACCACAATGTTCATAACAGCATTATCAACCAAAGCCAAAATGTAGAAACAACTCAAATGTCCAACAACAAATAAATGGATATACAAAATTTGGCAGAAACTTATTGAAATAAAGTTGGTATTAATATGAAATAGATTGCTATAAATTAATATGTTAATTGTAATCATGAGAGCAACCACAATAAAAGTAACTGAATAAATAGTAAAATAAATTACAGAAGAACGACAATGGTACACTAGAAATTATCTAGTATGCCAGAAAAAGCAGGAATGGAGAAATGGAGGAACAAAAAAAGATGTAAGAATTATGAAAAACAAACAGCAAAATGAAAAAGGTAAGTCCTCTTTCATCAGTAATTATATTAAATGTAAATGGACAAAACATTCTAATAAAGAGGCTGGGTATGGTGGTTCATGCCTGTAATCCCAGCACTTCGGGAGGCTGAGGCGGGTGCATCACCTGAGCTCCAGAGATTGAGACCAGCCTAACCAACATGGAGAAATCTCATCTCTACTAAGAATACAAAATTAGCTGAGCATGGTGGTTCATGCCTGTAATCCCAGCTACTCTGGAGTCTGAGGCAGAAGAATTGCTTGAACCTGAGAGGCCAAGGTTGCAGTGAGCTGAGATTCTTGTCATTGCACTCCAGCCTAGGCAACAACAGTGAAACTGTCTAAAAAAAAAAAAAATCTAATAAAGAGATTGGAATCTATAAGAGATTAGTCTTAGATTCAAAGATAAATATATTGAAAGAGTTTATTTTCAATATGCAAGGAATAGAAAAAGATATTCCATGCAAACAGTAACCAAAGGAAAGCTGAACTTGCTATGCTAATATCAAACAAAATAGAATTTATGACAAAAGTTGAAAATAGAGAAAAATAAGAAACTTTTATAATGATAAAATTGTTAATCTGTCTGTTATTCTGTCAAGAAGATATAGCCATTATAACATATATGCACCTAACTAAAGAGCCCCAAAACACATGAAGCAAAACCTGAAAAAATTGGAGGAATAGACAATTCAACAATATTAACTGGCAATTTTAATATGGATTGATTGTCCTTTATTCAAAATGCTTGGGGCCAGAAGTGTTTCAAGTTTTAGATTTTTTTTTTTTAGATTCTGGAATATTTGCATCATTCTTACTGGTTGAGCATCCCAAATCCAAAAGTATCAAAATTAACATGCTTCAATGAGCTCCTTTGAGCATCATAATGGTACTCAAGAAGTTTCTAATTTTGAAGTAGTTCAGATTCTGGATTCTTTGATTTGGGATGATCAACCTTTACTTCATTGTTAGTAGTGCATATGCACAGAACAACCAGGCAAAAAATAAGACAGGATTAGCTGGGTGTGATGGTGCACTCTTGTAATCCCAGCTACTTGGGAGGATAAGGCAGGAGAATTGCTTCAACTCAGGAGGCGGAGGTTTCAGTGAGCCAAAATGGTGCTACTGCACTCCTGCCTGGGAGGCAGAGAGTGACTCCATCTCCCCGACTCCCCCAAAAAAGTATAATGGTAGTTGTATAAGGTATTTGTAACTGTGGTTTATGAGGTTGCTATAGCAGTTTCCTTCTATTCTTGATCTCAAAACTCTTTAAAAAGCTACAAAAATGAAAACAGTGTGTTCCAGGCATAAGCATAGACATACAAATCAATAAATTAGCATTAAAATTCCATAAATAAACCCACACATTATTGGTCAATTGATTATCAATAATAGAGTCAAGACAATTCAATTTGGAAAAGAGTCATCTTTTCAACAAATAATGCTGGGGTAACTGAATATCCACAAGCAAAAGAATAAATCTGAATCCTACCTAATGCCACATACATAAATGAATATAGGGCAGGGGATCCAAGATGGCTAAATAGATACAACTCTAGTGCACAACACCCAGTGAGAGAGACACAGAAATCCAGAGATCTCCTAGCTCCAACCGAAGAACCAGGTGTATTTTAACGGGTCTGGTCTGATGGTGAGCAAATCTCACTCAGGGCAGACAAATGGGAGGGATGCTGCTTCACCCAGAAAGTGCATCTGACCAGTGAGTCGTAGTCTCCCCCTCTGGCATTCCAGTCCAGATACAGCGTTTCCCCCAAAGCCTCAGCAATACAGAGAACAGGAATCTGTGTCAGTGAAGTGCCGGGAATTACAAATGCAGAGTTGAATAATAATCCAGGACGGTGTCCGGATTTGCACACAGACATAAACAGACTCATAAGCCCAAAAGGCGGCCGGGAGAACCTTCAGACTGAGCTATTGTC